AGGGGAGGATTAAAAAGGTCCCCCCAAAAGGGCCAGGGGAAATGAGTAGCCCCAAAAAAAAAAAAAAAAAAAAAAAAAATCACAGCTCAGGTGTGAAATCTGTCAACAGCACATTCTTAGTCATGCACTACACAAATCTGGACTTTATGAAATAGTTGCAAGTAGAAAGTCATTGATGAAAGAGTGCACTATCAAGTCCTATTTTTAGATTTTGGACAAACTCAGTAGATGTTGAAGGAAGGTGCTGGTCAGATGACACTAAAAGTTGGGTGTACATGCAGAACACTACGGGTGGTATGTAGGACTAATCCTGGACAAAACATTTCCTAAAACATGGTATTGGGAGCGTCATGCAGGAATATGGAAGTTGAATTGATGGGAAGATGGAAGACCAGCTATCAAAGTACAAATGTATACTGCTTTTCAGCTTTTGTCATTTGTTAAAAAAAAAAAAGATTAAGACCATGTATCCTTGTGTTTTGACTTCATAACTATGCACAATTTTGTGTTGGTTCATCTTGTAAAATCTCCCCCAAAAATACATTAATGTTAGCAGTTGTAAAGTCAGATATTCAAGTGAATTAACACCTGTGTGAGGTAAAGGTAAAGGCAATTTTATTTATATAGCACATTTTTAGCAACAAGGCAATATAAAGTCCAAGGTACTGCATATTAGGTCATTTAGTAAAACTATGTACGCTGTACATGCTTTATCTGTAAACATATTAAATCAAAAATGCTTCCAGATAAATTCAATAAATCAAAAAGAGGGCAAACAAAGTCAAACAAAGGTTGACGTTTTGAAAACATATTGGTCTTTCAAGACAGAAGGGCTCACTGAGACCTACAAGATAAGGATGAGCATTGGTGTGTTAGTGTATTAATTATATGTCCAACAAAGGAAGTGTGGTGTAATCAGTAAACAGTGTCATGTCTGCTTTTCACATTGCCCACCATCAGGACCTTACATGGTCCTTTCAGCCAGCCGAACAAAGACGGAAACTTCAAAACGAAGTCTGAATCATTCCCGGCTTCCTTCCACCTCCACACAGGTTACTGAGCTGAAGGAGCGACTGAGGCCCATGCGAAGCTTCTGGGTGTCCCTCCCACACACCATCTGCAACGATGAGAGGATGGCTGCCGACGTCACTAATGAGGACCGCTGCTGGAACGGGCAGACCCGGGGGAGGTGAGCCAGATCAGAGGAAAGTGACTGGAGGTGATGAATGTGGGGAAGGTAGGAGAGGCTTTCAGGAATAGACAGAGGAGGAGAGAGTGAGGGAATGTATTTTATTTAGCCTCCACCAGTCACCCACATGCTCCCTGCAGGAAGCTTGGTTTTATGCTCACAGATCCAGCCAAGGTAGCAGGTTTGACATTGTTAGACACGGTATGACACGAGTCCATTTGGATTGGTGAGAGGAGGAGAATAAAGTCTCCTAATACTGCTGCATTAAGCAACAGTGAGACTATAAATACTCTAAAATTAGACACGCTAATCAGAACTGGAATAGCAGCCAGATTTACTGCCATCAAGTTTCATTTTTTGCTAAAGCTGGCTATAATATTTAAAGATTTAATTAACTTTGTTTTTATTATTTCTTCAATTTTTGCTTGATTGAGCTGTATGTTTTCCATCACACAACAAATGCTTACATCTGATTAAAATAAAAACATCTAATATATATATAT